TATATAATATACCAAGCCAAATCAACCCAATATATCAAATATGAGGGGTCAGGAATTGTTTAATTGACAGTTGGGAATAGCTTCAATTGTTTGGTATATTTGTTAGTAGGTTTGATAGATTGGCTTTGGCGGCAGCGCTGGATAATGGCGAGTAAACCAGAACTCAAATATGTCTCCGACTTCTGGGTATCTGTGTCGTTCTCTACGTGTTACTTGGGAGGAATCTATCTGCGATGCTTATTGTACAACGTCTACGACAGTCGGCTTGGCCGTCAACCCAGACGGTAGACCTGCCACCGCCATTTACCTGCAACAAGTCTTCCACCTGAGCTTTACCCTCGAGTAAGCCGTGATCAAGAATAAAACGGCCACAGTCTCCGCCGGGCCGGGGAAAATCACCAGAAAGTTGCAACCTGCCTAGCCAGAACCAGATACTTCCATCTAACTAGGCAAAGCGTTCCGTCGTGGCCCATAGCCCATGACTGCCAGCTAGAACCTGGGGTAGTTTCGTATCTGTGCTCAATATTCAGACTGAACTAGCGCCACATACTAGACTCATAGATAAGCAAAAGGTCTTGCGGGGAAGGTTTGACGCAACATCAACCCCGTTATTGGTCATGCTTCCATATTTGCTACGATTGTGACGATAGGCTCTACATCGCCACCTCCGACTCTCCGATGACATGGAGGACATTCGGGAAGAGGATTTAATGCCGTCCTTGGCGCAAAGTACTGAAGCATTATGCCTTTTGACGGTACGGCCGGACCCCAATTTCGACGGACTGGTCTGGCAGTTGCGCTCCAGGGATGCAGGCGTGCGTGTGAAAGACCCCACAACCTGCTCCAGGCGCAGATGACAGCTAAGCTTGCCCCAGACTCTACTTCTGGTATCAGCTAGCGCCATCGCCAGGTTCGAGTTACAAGGTCAAAGATGACGCTTCTGAGGCTGGGGTGCATGTCTTTGTTGGTAGAGACAACTCATGTTTGGGTCCGAGATGGTTTGCGGGGAAGTTGGAGTAGACTGAGAAGCCCATCCCAATTAGGCAGTCACTCGCCGAAATGCCGGCGAGTTCGCTCCTCTGTTGGATGATCCATTCGCATCATGGAACGCCCCCGGGCGAGGCACGTCACGCGGTGTGGGTCGAACGCTCGGCCATCTGAACTTGGCGAGTCGATCTCTGTCCAATGTTGTACCAACTCTTTCACAGTCCTCTATTCCCCGCCCGTGATGTACTCAGTCTGCGAGCTGATGTGCCCCCCTGTTCCAGTTCCAACCAGAGCACGAATGAATTGCCGGGAATGTGTGACCGCAGACAATTGACAGGCAGTCTACCCCGTGGGGGAAGCACGTTAGCTCCCGGCTGTCTGTTTCTCCAAGAATCGAGAATCTCCAAAACAGTCCGCCCTTGACATTCCCTCTGTCCTGATTGGCTGGTCGCATTGACCATGTCCGCTGTTGCCATGGATGTAGAAGTTGATGTTAAGAACATCGGCCAAAGTATAAAGAGATGAGCTGAGAAGCTATTCAAAACTTTTGTCTCATCTTGTGCTCGACACGGGTTCAGAGGAAATCTCAACTAGACCATCCACCATCACTCTCCGGGGCCTCGGACTAAGAGCCTTGCACCCCTTCTTCAACCTTTCTTCCGTGTCCCGGCTCATTGTGTGCAACGGACGAGCAACCGTCATGTCCGACCTTGAAAAGACGCAGTCGCGTAGCGGTGCTCACAGTCAGGTTGAGGATGTCAACGCCAACATCCTAGCTCAGGCCGACGCGCCGATTAACTACGATGTTGATGGCATCAAGGGCATCGTGCGGTCCCCATACGTACTCGGGGCCGCCCTCTTGGCCTCATTTGGTGGATTCTCCTTCGGTTACGGTACGTCCACTCAGAAGTGGCAGAATCGTCATGTGAAGATTGTGTCTAATCAAGCGCGTCAGATCAGGGTGTCATCTCAATCATCCTGGTCATGCCCCAGTTCCACGACCAATTTCCCGAAACATCCCCCGACCACCCGAGATATGGCTTCAACACCGGCTTCATGACTGGTATGCTTGAGTTCGGAGCTTTCATAGGCTGCCTGTTTCTCCCATACCTCGCCGATAAGATCTCCCGCAAATGGGCCCTCACGATCGCCACATTCTTCTTCTGCGTCGGCGCCATCATCCAAACCGCGGCCCATAACTACGGCACTTTGGTGGCCGGCCGCACCATCGGCGGAATTGGCGTCGGAACCCTGGCCATGGGTGCGCCATTGTACATCTCTGAGATTGCACCTCCGAACCTGCGAGGCTCCCTCCTCGTTCTGGAGTCCATCAGCATCGTCATTGGTGCCATTGTCGCGTACTGGATCACGTTCGGGACGCGAAGCATATCCGGCGAGTGGGCTTTCAGGCTCCCATTTGCTCTGCAAATGGCTCCGGCGCTGATGGTGGGCCTCGGCATCCACTTCTTCCCGTTCTCTCCGCGTTGGCTCGCGATGGTCGGTCGTGACGAGGACAGTCTCGGGGCTTTGACCAAGCTCCGCCGTGTACCCATATCCGACGAGCGCGTGCAGGCTGAGTGGAAGGGAATCCTATCGGAGGTGCGATTTCAGCAGGCAATGGTGGCTCGCGACCACCCGAGCACCAACGCTTTTACGGCCGAACTTGCGCAATGGGCGGATCTTTTCAGACCTCGATACTTGAAGCGCACCACCATTGCCCTCGCCATCCCGTTCTTCCAGCAATTCTCAGGTACGATGACCTTTTCTTTGCCGATAAGGAGATTCTTTTAACACTCTTTATTCAAGGAATCAACGCGTTTGTATACTACGCCCCTACGTTCTTTGCCGCCCTCGGCCAGAAGGGAGACATGCCCCTGATTTTATCCGGGATGGTCAACATCTGCCAGCTTATCGCCGGCATTCCGACCTTCCTGTTCCTCGACCAAGTCGGACGTAGGAAGCTCGCAATTGGAGGTGGTTTCGCCATGGCTGTCCCCCACCTCATCATGGCAGGCGTGGTCGGCAAGTTCAACAGCAGCTGGGACGAGCATCCCGCCATGGGTTGGCTCGGCGTTGCCCTAATTTGTGAGAAGCCCGGCCCCTTTCTCGTAGTAAACATGAACGAGTGGCGGAATACTGACTCGCATCGCACACAGATATCTACGTCCTCTGCTACGCGACATCGTATGGCCCCTTGGCGTGGACCTTGCCCGCAGAGATTTTCCCGAACTCGAAGCGCGCCAAGGGTGTTGGAGCTGCGACCGCCATGATCTGGCTGGCCAACTTCATCATCGGAGTGTGTGTTCCGGAGATGTTGATCAAGATTGGCTGGGGCACGTATCTCTTCTTCGGGTGTTTCTGCGTTGCAGCCGGTGTCTTCTCCTTCTTCATGGTGCCTGAGACGGCCCATAAGTCTCTGGAGCAGATCTCCGCCCTGTTTGGAGATCACAGTGTGGCGGAGGAGCAGGACATCCGCAGGCGCATTGTGGAGGAGATCTGGACCGACCCGAAGTATCAGGTCTCCAGTATGCCGTAGACGTGGATGGTGCGGAAGCCCTGCCGCATCCGAGGTTGTATTCGATGTACGAATTAAGGTTTTCTAGCCATGCCGATACCCGTGTGACACGATGCGTGAACGAGACCGAGATGAAGATTCGCTGGTCGTTATCGTGAAGACATATTAAAGCTGAAGAGCTGAAGGGCCAGACTCGTCATACCGCTCACTCCAGAGCCTCAAGGTTTGTGAGCTGTCATACCAGATGCATTCCAGATGCCACATGACTATCAGAGAACATTGGAAAACACCAAAATCCAATTTCTTGAGGTTCGTGATCGCAAAGCAGGGGAAATGATATCATGGCATGCAAGAATTTGCCAGGAGGTAGGCGCCGTGGATCCCGCGGACAGCTTACACGTCCCAACTTTTCACACGTATTTCTACATGCTTACTCCACAGCCAACACCGTACTGCGTTGGAGACTCAGTGTCAGAATCAAACGCACGCTGTAAAGACTTGCAGTGCGGGGTTCGACTCCCCCGCCAACATCTCCTTCCAGGACAAAACTATTCCTAACGTGCCCTAGAGACGGCCAGATGGAGGCCTTGGATGAGCAGGGATTGGTCGCTGAAGCTAAAGCCATCTAGAGCCGCTAGGCGCCCACTTCGCCGAGTAATGTCCTCTTTATGCCCTTTTTATATGTTCCGCACTGCCCCACGCCAACGGATGGTGTCGGCGAACTGCTTCCTTCCTGGGCCACCTCGACATTTTCTTTGCCTCAGCCATGGTATGATGCCTTACTCTGAAGGGCGGGAATGGCTCCACCACAGAGACGCGAACGGATCGTGCCGTGCGGGAAATGCAGAGGTATGTGGTATTTTGACCTTATATTTCCCATCCTCCAGTGTTGCTGTTTTTGTTCGTTCGTCATGCCATGATGGTGGTCCGCGCTGTCCGCGGACATCACGGAGGGATGGATGTCTTATCGTCTTCGCCCCCTGTTTTCTCGCTTGAAGGTGTGGTCGTCGAACATGCCTGGCTAACCTGATTGAACATAGAAAAACACCTCAAATGTGAGTTATTGCGAATGGTCCCCTTCTCATTGGCCTACGTTTGTCTTGGCGACACGGCCATATGCATAGGGAGTTCCTGATATTGACGGTGGACCGCAGGCGACGGCGAAACACCATGCTCTGGCTGCAAGAAGTCAGAGTCTCACTGCGTACGCGTGAGTAACCGCTTCAGGTTCAAGCGCATGGTCGCGTCAGAAAAGAAATATTCCTTCGATGTGAATCAACCGTGGCTGCACGCAAGTGCAAGTGGTGGTAAGACCCTTCCTAGAAAAGCCCTTCTGCTGATATCTACCGGATGGAACTCTAACACCGGCTTTGCAACACGAAGATACACAGAAGCCTCTCGCTATCGTCGACGAGTCCAGCAAGGCCCCCAAAAGCAAATCAATACCTCCTCCCCCGAATCCCAACCAACCGACGTTCGAAGCCTCGATCACAGTGACACAGCCCAAGGCAGCTGACCAACTCACCGCAGCAGCCGAGGCCCTGCATTCATTTTCGCAAGGCGGGCCTAGTAGTCAGTCAGGGTCAGCTAGTGATCTCGTCACGAGACTATCACCTAATGCCCAAGCACGATCGCAACAATCCTCACCAGCTGATGCTGAAGCTTTCGACATCGGATTAGGGGGTGGAACCCAAATAGCAAATGGGACAGCGGGCTCAAGCCATGGACATGCGTCATTCTTCAATTTCCAACCGGTCGCGACACCTTCTTCGAGCATAAGCACGCCATACACCAGCATATCTGCACCGAGCCCGTCAGTTCCTCGCTCGATACCTGAAGGATGGAGTAGAGCTATTGTCAACGGCCGACCGAGACGACCAAGTTTGCTTTCGCAATACCAGTCACCCGTCTTTGAAGATCCAAACGTCGAAGCTTCGTCAGTTGCAGGCAGTATCAGCGAGACTCCGCAATTAGGTTTGCAGGAAGGGTGCCTTATCAGATGCTTTATTGAGAATCTTGCTGCAGCTGTATGTTTGTCTCGCCATGATCCCCAGCAAATCTTGAAGTACCCCCCTACTTCTAATTTGTTCCAAGTGCTCACTCAACTTGGTCACATCCAGTTCGATACCACCGACCGAGATCGTCATTATGTCCTCGTGGTGCCCCAGCGCGCAGTCTACAATCCCCTCTTGATGTACGCGATATGTACAGCGGCAGCCAGATACTTGACTCAGTTATGGTCAAACAAGGGCCCGAACCAAGTAATCAAATACCACGGCATACCTCTCCCGAATCTCAACAAAGAGTCTGCCATTCACTACCATAACAAGTGCATATCCTATCTGATGGACACGTCAACGGATCCGGCACATCCATGCAATGATGATGCCCTCACTGCTATCACAATTCTTCGCTACCATGAACAGGTCGACTGTAGGGCATTTCAATACTAGTTACGACACGATGCGATGCTCTTGCTAACGACGCATTTCTTGCAGCCCATCTCACCGGTTCCGACTCCGAGACATACGTCAGCGCGGTTCAAGCTGTGTTCCACGCCCAGCAAGAAGACACCATTGGCCTCTTCAGCATCATCTATCATCCCCCACGAGGCGCCGATATCTATGCCCCAAGCATGCCGTCATTACGGCACTCCGCGACGCTCATCGCCCTGCGTCAAGAGATATGGTCCGTCCTGCTCTACCGACGCCCCTTCCGACTTCCCCTCTACGGCGCCGAAGACTGCTCCCAGTTCGAACCTGACATGGTCGCCGACGACTTCGACTGGGCCAACCGAATCCTCGTATGGTGCGCCTACGTCCTCAAGTTCTGCTTCGGCACGTCTTCCGACAACACCATCGATTCCGAAGACCCTAAGTCCCGAGTGGAGCAGTGGAACGCCCTCAAAGCCTTCGAGCACAACTGGGACGAACACCTGCCTCCCCACTATAAGCCCCTGGCATACCAAGAACGCAACCCTGAAAAGGGCGATTACTTCCCCATCATTTGGCACGCGAACGACTGCCAGGTGCTGGCGTTGCAACACATCGAGCTGACGAGGATCATGTTGGCGGTGCATAGCGTGAAGAATCAGAGATTGGGCATCGGCGCACAGGCAGCAAACCAGGCTTTCGAGGAGTTGCTGCGAGATGCGACACGCAAAATATGTGGCCTCGCGCTGTCGAATCACAGGGACCAGCCTGCGATGGTGACTGCTGGCGTGGGCATCTCTTTGTGTGGAGAGTACTTTCACGATCAGGGCGAGCAGCAGGCCATTGTAGGGTTCATGGCGAACCTGGAGAGTTTACACGCATGGCCTACCAGTTCGGTAGTCGATGCGTTGAGAACTGCATGGGGCACAAAGTAAATCGCCGGGGCAGCGATGACCTATTTACACGAACGCGATATCTCTCGTCGTAGGTGCTGCGTCATTCGCAATGTGTCGCTAGTTTTATCGGACTTTTGTCGGACAAGACTTGTTGTCTTCGCCTTACGTGGGAACATGGGCACGATTAAGGTTCAAGCTTGAACCTGCAGGAGGTTGCATTTTTAATCCGGGTACAGGCTTGTCTCGGTTGAACGGCAACCTAAGTTCAGATTCCGATCGAAGTTTATCTGGAGACTAAAGCACTTTTAGACAAGCATCAGCGTCGGGTCATGAATTCTGACTCGCTATGCATCTTCAAATTCAAAGACGTTCAACTTCCCACCACTCTGTTCTTCGGAAGGTGATTGCCGGTCTCGAAAAGCATCGGCCCAAGCCATTCATAGCTCACATCTCGGTCAGTGCCCAAGAAAATTAGTTCCGCTGGACTCCTTTATCATCCAATGAATCTGCCAGCTGAGGGACGCCATCCGCGTGCTCGCTATCGCGGCCATTGTGGATATGAGCCTCCTTCTCGATCTGCTGGATGTCAAGCTGAGCAACCTGTGCATTTGATCCGTCGATAACCTTCGCGAGCTCTTCGAGAGTCGGTCCCTTTGTCTCCACGTACTTGAAGAAGACGAAGCACAGTTCGAGGAAGATCCAGCACTATCAGCTTGGTTAGCGCACCATGTCTGAAGACCTGATACTTTTGACTTACAGTGTAGATGAGATAAAGCTTCCAAGTTTCTCCTTCGAAATAATCCAGTGCTACTGGGTTGGCATAGTTGTTAAGAGTCAAAGCCGACTGAATTGCGATGTTCAAGATCATCAGCCCCTTCGCTCGTAGAGTGTAGGGGAGGATTTCGACGGCATAGCTGATCAAGAGGCCGGACCATGCGATGGCGTATGCGACGTTGAACACCCAGATGAAGAATATCATGGCGTGGTTGGCTCCTGGTGAGCTGTATTCTTCGTACAGCGCACAGGTCAAAGTCCAGAAGATGAAGGTGCCAAACATGCCCCCGGTGGAGAGCAAGAAAATTGGGCGACGGCCGAACTTGTCAACCAAGAGGGCGAAAGAAATGGATACAATCAGCGATACCATAGATGATCCACCCGACAGCTAGCATATGGATGTCAAATGAGCTCATGTAGAATCAAGGATTACCAAGTGAAACTTACACCGAGCTTTTCGGTTGAGCCAGTAATTCCGGCGTTGTCATACAATATGTTGGTGTAATTACTGATGATCGCGTTTCCCGACCACTGAGAAAATATGCCAAGAGAGATGAGAATCATGAATCGGTATCTGTTACCCGGGGTGCGGAAGAAGTCGAGGTAGCTACTGTGATTCTTGGCGGCCTGTTCCATCTTGATAGTCTCTGTGATTTCGCGGTACTCGAACTTTACCGTCGGATGGTCAACGTTGCCATTCGCGTGGTATTTGGCCAAAATTGCCATCGCATCGTCTAGCTTGTCGTTGGCGATAAGGTATCGAGGTGACTCTGGGACCCCTAAGAACGTAAGTACAGTGTCACAGAGGCTCAAGATTTGACTTACACCAAATGCCGACAACTTGCACTACAGATGGCTGGACTCATGTTCAGCAATTCAATCACAGTTATTTTCAGTTAAAGAGACGCTTACCAGGGCTTGCAACAATGCCGGGATTCTCCAGGACCACTGGTTGTTCAAGAAGTTGGTGCCGAACGATGTCCAGGCGACGACTTCAAGCCCGAATGGTGCGTCAGCATTCGGTCTGAAATGACCATGTTAAAGGTCACTTACGCAAAGCTCCTACATTCCAAAGACAGTTGTAAACGGTCGTTAGCCTTGCTCGATGCTGAGGGTGGGCGATCTCAGTGAGAAGCATGGGTGACGCCATCTGAGAGAACGAGTTTCCGAAACCCAGAAGCACGCGCCCACCCATAAAGCCTGCAGTTCATTAGTCACAGGGTAGGCTTTCTGTCAAAGAATTCTGAACGGACCTCCCATGTTCTGGCAGAAGGCCTGAAGTGCAGCACCTGCAATCGTGATAACACCACCGATGACAATGGGCAGTCGCCGGCCCCAGTGGTCGGTGAAATAGGGGCTTTACTTATTGTCAGTAGATTCTCATTCCATGAAGTCAGAACCGGGGGGGTCGCACACGATAGGAATGGAGGCAAGACTCCCAATTTGATACAGAGCAGCTAGAAGCCCCAGGAGATGATCGCTGGGGCTGTCAAAGTACTCCTTCCATGACTCGAAATTCTGCACGGAGTTAAAGAACATTCTGTCCGGTGTGAGTAGCTGCAAACTTTCGTGATAGGTTGTCGTAAACTCACCCATCGTATCCAGTACTAGCGGACGCAATGCAAAGGATGAAGGCATGCCAATACAGAGCCCTCAACCCAGGGTCGCGATACCATGTGACATGTTCGAACTGAGGGGCCTCGTCTTGAGCATGAACTGTGGCCTCTTTGTTGGGCTTGGTAGCCTTGATCTTGGAAAACGGCCCCATGTTGTGCGGCTTTCCCGAAAAATCGTGTTGATGAATATCAGACGCGAGCGACCGCTTGGGCTGACTCTCCACATACCTACCTCGAAGTGGGGAGCCTAAGGTCTAAATATCCGGGGAAAAGTATCCAAGACGCGCTTCGGGTTGTCGGGAGACCTCCCCGTCTCCTGTTCTTGGGATGGCCAGGTTGTATCACATGAGCTGAGTTGGTCCAGTCGTGCCGAGTGACTAGCAGAATTACCCAAGATGTGCTCAGCTCCTTAGGCGGGCGGCAAATCAGGAGTCCAAGCTTACATCCCGGGCGACAATTGTATGCTGGGCGGCCTACCTACCATACAGAGACATCTTTCATGTAATAAGGCTACATATCATCCAATGAAAACTGTTTTGTAATTTATCCGGCATGCTCTTGGCCAGTGGAGTGCCACGAGGCCAAGGCTGAGGTTCTAAGACTCTCGTTGGAATACCGAGACTCTGCCCAGTACGCCAAGTGGCTTGGTGGGCCTTGTATGGATTCAGCTCCCAGCCCGACTCAACCGCTACATTCGGACCTTTCTGCTAACATTTTCTTGGGTGTCATGTGAGACAAGAAGCGTGGCTCTGTGATGGTCAATAACCTGAAAATCCTATTTTTTGTTGATACGGTGATATCGACATCCAGAGACATGAGGCCTTCGGGTTTCGGCCCTTCCTGCCATCATGAGCGCCCGATGGACAAGCTACTATTCGTATGGTTTGAGCTCTAGATGACCCGGAACAAGCCATTTAGTTACGCTAGTCCATGTTGCTGACAGGTACAGATCCTCACATACAGACTGGGATCTTGGGCCAGTGTGAACCAGGTCCAGTTTGTTGAAACTGAAATATTTCACATCCATACTATTCTTACAGTCATCATCTCAAGCTGTGATCCTAAACATGAACTCCAAGCAATGCTTCTGTCAAGTACCCTGCGTAAAATTGTTATCAACCAATATCAGCATGCACATCTTTCACCTCGCCTCCTCGTCCGCTCTCCAACTCTTGAACTCGCGGGCTGGTAGCTTCAAATCGAACATGCGATCAATTTCGATCACACTTCGCCCTTTCATTTCCGGAAGGAAGAAAAAGCAGAGCACGACCGCGATAGCACACAACCCCACGTACAAACATCCCGTCTTGGCACCCAAATTACCGGCGTCTTTGTTGAACAGATACGGGAGAATGATACTCAAGACAACCGAAGAAGCCTGTTGGACCACTCCACCCAAACCTTGTGTCTTGGCGCGAAGTCTCAAGGAGCTGGTCTCGCCCACGACGGCGTAGCCCGCAGGCCACACGCCCATGCCGCAAACCACGATGATGGCAATACATCCACCAGCAGTGAAATAAGCGACGACTGGCCCCCTCCAGAACCCCGAGATACTAACCCCAACCCACAGGATGTTGGCCACGATCAGTGAAACGAGGGTGATTTTCCTCCGGCCCACGCGGGATAGGACCCACATGCCAGCGAGATTGGCAAAGGTGCCAGCGACGATGCCACCGATGAGTATCATCAAACTGGTACCAGACGCCATGCCGATGGTCTGGAGAAAATAGCTTGACTTGGCGATGAGGTCAAGGCCAAACATCGCGGGGAACAGATTGGCCATAAACACGATCATGGTGCGGCGAAGATGGGTTCCTTGGAAGCACGTAAGGTATGTAGCGCCTACAGACACTTCCTTCTCCTCCTCGATGCTGGCTCTGATCTTCTTCAAGGCTTTCAAAGCGTCGGCTCGAGGGGCGTAGAGCTTTCGCGCAGACTCCATTGCTTGGTCTGAGAGCCCTTTCTCTTCCAGGAACGCTGGGCTCTCAGGGAGAATGATGGAGAGGATGAATGGAACAAGAGCCAAGGTCCACTGTGATCCAAAGGAGGCGAGATAGCCGGAGCGCCCAGGGTACTTATTCAAGACAAAGAGGACGATAGACCCCAGCAGTTGACCGACGAGGTTGCCGGTGGGTACGAGCCCCATAGCAGATGCACGCAACGCGGTCGGCGCCGTTTCAGAAATGTAAGTCATTGCCGTGACTTTCAGGATACCGATCGCCAGGCCTTGGACGAGCTTGCCGACGAAGAACATGGATCGCATGGCGTTGATGTTGGCGGGTAGATAGGAGAAGAAGATGCCGGCAACACCTACAGCGCAGATGATGCTGCCCGTCCGTAAACTGACTCGACGACCGACTCTGTCCTGGAACCAACCAGCGAAAACGGAACCAAACGCCATGCCTAGTGGAATAGCTGCAGACCATAGAGAGATCCAAAGAGATGGAATAATCCATTCGTCCTCGAAGATCTCGCCGTAGTCATGTTGGAAAGGCTCAACAGCAACGATGGTGCCGACGATTACCAAGGCGTAACCCCATCCGATGACAATGATTGTCAGTGACAAAGCGTATGCAACCACCTTGGGGTACTGGCGGATGGCTTTGCCGAGTGGTAAATCGGGCTCTTCTTCATTGACTGTGCTCGAAGTCTCGCTTGCTGTTTTCATCAGCGGGTTTGTGGAGTGATCACGCGTATGACGTGGGCCGTCCGGGTACAGGCTGCTTTCCCGGCCCGTCCTAGAGCCTGTAGTGTATGATGGACTCGGTTCGGCCATTTCAATGGTTTCGGTGTTGGTCGCTCCCACGTTTGCGGGGCTGTATTCGCCGCGGCGGTCATACGAAATGTCCATTGCCGAAGGAGTTGACACCGAGTAGGGTTTGTTGTTGGGAGCAATGGGAGTCAACAAAAGAGAGCGTAATGATATTCGGAAACTTCGGTAGTTGTGTAAAAGTGTTATGGTCAGTGATGTCGGGTTGATGAGATCTAATGTCCTTTTCTGCCGACATGGAGGGATCGGGATGGTGCTTTATGTCCCGAAATCCCCTCCATTGAGGTGTTACCATTCTGCCTATAAGCAGCACAATCTCTGCTACTGCCGCTGAGTTGTTCGAGCATGCGCGGCAGGAGGATCACAGCAAAGGCGCAGCACAGTAACCAGAATTACAGAACTCCAACGGGGAACCATTAATGCCAAGATATTTTACAATGCTAATTCCTACGAGCACTGCCCAAATGCCGCGTCAGACTACGCGAGCGCGTTGAGCTATACCAAGCTAGCTAATGATTGCCGCTGGTATCAGAAATAAGCATATGGGAAGGATGCAGGGTGGCAGGATGGCGCAGCACGAGTCCGAGCCAAGCACCCACGAAAACCATGGCCTACGGACACGGGAGCGGATTCAGGGCTGAGACCCATCCGGCCGGCGTCGCGGCGTCGCTCTGATTGGAAGATGGAGCCTACGGACACGGATACGGAGGACAGGTCTAAGCCACGTACTTATTTCACCATGTCCCCCGACCTTCATCCCGACCGCTGAAGAGCCGTAATATGCCCGCAAGTCCAAGGTCTTATTCTCCAACGGTCTTTTCCTGTCAAGGCCGTAAGCCTGTGCCTTGTGAACTCCGACCCCGACGACTTTCACGGTGGATACACGGAATCCCGGGCAAAAATGTCTGCTATGCTGTTGCCTGGAACTGATCTTTGAGACATCAAGTCCGGGTGGTTGGTCAAGTCGCACTCAAGCTGACGTCGGATTATGATATCCAGCTTGAAGGTTAAAACCTGTCAGCTGCTTCCACAACCCAGAGAACTACTACCATCAAACATTCGAGAATACTCCCTACGAAAGCATTTATTCACTCGGTCTAGCCCTGCACGAATATTGTCTCCCAACTAAGATCACCTTAATCACCTACCATGTCAATTTCTGTCATTAACCAAGACATGGACCTCAAGCCTATCTGCCACATCGTCGCCCCTGTGGGCTGTATGGGATACGGCTTCGACGAAGATCTCGCCGCAAATGAGCTTGCTCGACTAGTCCATACCGGCGTTCCGACCGCCATCATCCTCGACGCAGGCTCAACAGACAGCGGGCCGGAGAAATTGGCCCTGGGAACAATGACTTGTCCTCGATCGGCATATGTCAAAGATCTAACGAAGTTGTTGAGGCTTGTAAATACCTTTGGTGTCCAGTTGATCTTTGGCTCTGCCGGCGGCGATGGTGCGGACGAACATGTCGTTTTGATGCAAGAGATCATCGCTGAGATATCGGCTGAGAAGGGAAATGAGTGAGTGCATATTCTCTAGTTTATGAACTCGAACCAACTGACAGAACCAGGGACTATTCTTTCAAGACGATTTCCATTTTCTCCGGTATCGACAAAACCATCATCTTTGACCGACTCAAAGCTAGCCGCTTAACTGGCTGTGGAACCTGTGTTCCAGCCCTGACAGAAGGCGATGTTGAAGCTACCCCGCGAGTCGTTGCACAAGTCGGCCCGGAGCCTTTCATTAATGCGATGGAAGCTGATCCGGATTTTGATGTCATCGTTGGAGGCCGCGCATACGACCCGGCTCCCTATGCTGCATACTCCATGTTCCAGCTCAAGCGGCAACATCCAGGCCTCAGCGAACAAGAACTCGAAGAGAGACACGGCGGATTCCTACACATGGGCAAGATCATGGAGTGCGGAGGGCAATGCTCCACGCCAAAGTCGCATGGTGCAGTTGCAACCGTCTACCAAGACGGTGTATTTGACGTCCGACCCATTGCAGCCCAGTCAAGATGCACGCCCCTTTCAGTGGCAGCTCATTCTTTGTATGAGAACACTAGGCCGGACATTCTAAGAGGTCCCGGCGGTGCGCTCCATCTTGACGCCGCTAAGTACGAACAACTTGAAGACGACAGGACGATCCGCGTCCGCGGAGCTGAGTTCAAGTCCTCGGCAGCGAGTGGCCAGCCGTATCAACTTAAACTGGAGGGTGCGAAGATATTGGGATACCGATCGATAGTGCTGGGAAGCGTCAGGGATCGTAGGTCAACATGATGCAAACTTGGGTGTCATATGACTGATTATCTGCAGACATACTTATCAACCAGCTAGACGACCTCCTTTCCCTCGTCAAGGCATATGTAAAGCAGCAGCATCCGAATATTCCCGGCAATTGGGACCTAGATTTCCACACTTACGGCCAGGGCCAGAGCACCCCACTGGGTCCAGGAGGAGTTTTTATCATTGCAGAGGCCGTCGCACCCACCCAGGAGCTGGCAACCGGTCTTGTCTCTACGGCAAGAATCGGCATGATTGTGAGTTTTAATTTGGAGTTTGTTCATTCTCAACTGACGAGGACCACAGCACGGTCCTTACCCGGGTCAAAAGGCGACGTCTGGCAACTTTGCTTTCGGCATCGCGGGTAAACTTGAGATCGAGACTGGCCCTTGCTGCCAGTTCTCCGTCTATCACCTTATGGACCTTGAGCCCGGCGAGGAGAGACTTGGGTCCCGGTTGATCCGCGCCACTGTGGCCACCATCGGCAATCCGAACAAACCAAATACCAGACGAACCGGTCGTCAAACCCCTTCTCAAGGGCAGCTGGCGGTATCGAAGCAACATCAACAGTCTCTTAACCCCACTATGAACGGCCATGAGGGAGCAAAATGCACACCGCAGACACTATCTGACATCTCACGGGTTCTGCGTTCTAAGAACGCAGGCCCCTACGAGATTACTATAGATGCAATTTTCGAGTCCAAGTCGACGTATGACGCTGTTAAGCATTCCGGCCTGTTATCCGCAGAGAACGTTGCAAACGCTCTGAATGTTTCCCCGGACGACATAGTATGGATGGGGTTCTTTGATCCGGCATTGGCGTTTAAAGTAACGATCCCTCGCTTCCGCTCTGGGAAGAAAGCTCCTGCGGGAAGCTTCATGGAAAATGATATTCACGGGTCGCAGCAGCATCTTGGTTTGTCAACTCTCAGACTCATCTCCGCACTGAGAGGTCTTTAGGCTTTTCACTGTTGTTAGGGTGAAATTGTAACCTATTTCCACGTATGACTGTATTCTCCTGTTTTGACACTCGTATTACTGAGTCATAATCGAACACTAATCTAAAGTATTCCTCCGATGCCATCTTAACCTTGCAGTCGCAGCCGCCTAGTCTTCTCAAAGAACTCCATCATCTGGCGAGCTATAGTCGATGGCTTGGGCGTGTGAACAACAGTCACTGGACTCCAAGCAGACGCTCCGATCATAGTCTGGACGCTGACTTCAACTTCATAGTCGGAGTTGCCTGACAGCGACCCGAGGACTAAGTGTGACTCTGAAGCGGCGCAGCAAACCTCTGTGGGCGAATCATTCTCGATTTCCTTAGGGAAGGCGGCGCCTCGAAGAGGACTTTGACGCCGTTGATATCTCACCAGAAAGCCCGTGGTCGGTATGGTTTCATTTTCAAGGTCCTCTCGTGCCCGGATCAGAGCTACTGCAATTGTCTTACCATCGATGGCTAACATGGCGCTGCAGGAGCTCTGGGGAGTATTCCGGTAACAATGGAAAACCTTCCGTGGTTGTCGAGGATGATGTCGCCAACACTGGTCTTGACCTTCTTTGGGCCGCCAGGGCGGTATGCGGTATCTATGCTTGCAACCCCAAAACAAATTGGAGCGGTTGCAGGTGGCAGTAAGCGCAGCTTTCGCAGAGCACAGCAAGACTGCCTCACGAACGCAATGATGTCGTCGTTCTCGAACCACTCTTCGTCCAAGCCGTCGTCAGACTCTCCCGTGTCGGAGTTCTTGCGGCCAGACTCGATCTGTGCTTGGAGTGGGTGCTTGTGAATACCGATAGAGGGACCTCCTAATTATAGGAAAAGCCTTGGGGACGTGTCGCCCGTGAGAGATTGAAGCTTCATCACTCCCAGATGGTTCTCGAATTCTTCTTCAAACAGAGGATCAAGCGTCTTTTGAAGCACATTAGCCTCTGTTGTCTTCTTATCGATGAACCGCATAGCAAGCTCAGTCTGGTGCTGAAATAAGTTGGCCGTTTTCCGGAGATCTGCCATCTTTTCGTTCTCGTCCGTGTTACCGTCTCGAAGTTGAGGGAGTAGGCGACGCGCCTCCTGCTCAAAGTCGTTTTGGGCGCCAGCAAAGGCAGCCCGGAAATTCGAAAGCTGCCGTCCGACTGCCGGGAATTCTTTCTGGAACAAATCTTGACCGAGAAGATCTTGCAACATGAGACCCGCGGTGGAGCCGGCTTTGAGAACCGCAGCCGTCTTGTTGACGAGGCCGGTATCCAAGCTGCGGATGGTCCGGCTGGCTTTCCTGTCGAGAACCGAGAGCGGAAGAAGTTTGTAGTATAGCGTGTTCATTTGCTTAGCCAGCGTTTTGGCCATTTCCCCAGCAACCCTTCTGGCATCCTCGATGCTGGAGACATTCTCGGCTATGGCGCCACTGTATGAGATCTTGACATCTTCGAAAAGCGACTCGTTCTTGGCGGAGAACTCGACCTTGTCGCTACCGCTGACAGGGACGTTGACAACGCTTACTTTGAGCTCCCCTGTAATCTTTCTAGCTTCTTCCGCCGAGGAACAGGCCCGGACAAAGCTAAGTGTAGCGCTTCCCCCCTCAACGACTTCAGCTACGAAGTGCGTGTACTGAGCATCGTCGAGGTATTTTCCGTACTTCGTGGACGCCAGCACCTCTTGCGGAATGCGGCGTGTGCGACGCACAACGGTACACGAAGCGTCAAGACGAGCCTCGTGAGCAGTAGCCTTCCTGTCGTTCAGGAACTTGGCAGACCCGGTGGCGCTGAACAGCTTGAGATCAAGGCTTAACGAGCCTTCGGCGTCGAGGGAACAGTTGGTTCGGGCTTCTTCGAGCGAGTGCGAAAGGACGAAGTCCGCGTTTTGGACCTGCGCTTCATTCAGCTCCTGCTTCGCGTTGACCACCGAATGATCCCAAAGGGAAACGCCGCCGAAGAATTGCGAGGTCCGCGCGTCGTAGAGCATGCCGAGCTGGATATCCTGCCCGAGAGCGGGATGGGAGAGTTAAGTGTCGTTTGGTAGGCCCATTGTAACGTGACTGATGTGAAAATGAATTGCAACGGGAACGAAACTGCAGGAGTTGCGAGTTCAAAAGTTTGAAGAAAACGATTGTTGGCGGCTTGGACGACCACGTGCCTAATCATGGCACTCCGATGGTAAGGGTGATTATCCATGAGGCAATCTGCAAGCACCGGCGAGCTGGCCTATCATAGAATGGAACATGACAATACAAATCCAAAAGCTCAATGCTGCTAATCTAGCATAATAGTATTGGTTGCGTACGAGATGTTTGAAAATTCTAACTTAATGCTTCACATGTGACCGTGTGCAGGCCGTGAGAAATTTCGCACGCGGATGAAGACTTGAGACATGAAATGTGATACTTTGTGATGAATGAAAGAGATGTAGTCTAGATCACGCCCAGACTTCGCAGAATGGGATAAGCTGAACCATATGGCTGGCTGGGATAAAACAGACAAGCCATGGCTGATAGTGTCTCACCGGTGACCATGCAGATCTGGAAAGCTGATTAGGCGAGTGACACTAATTGGCAATCCCATTTGCAACTGATAATGTGAACTTGAATGACTGTATTCTCAATCAATCTCGATTTGAGTCGACTAATCAGATTGTGTTTACACGTCGACGAGACTTGGTCATACTAATCATGTAGTAGACAAGGTGACTACAATAGCCCATGGTAGTTATCAGTCGTGTCTGGAGCTTGAGAAGTGGCAACACCATCGTCAAGAATATATCTGAGATTGACGCGAGGACGGCTAGTGCTCCGACTAGATCGACGTGAAGAGATACGGAAAACGTGTTAACGTCGCCCGAACTGCCCCAACTACCGAAAAAGCAAACGTGGTCTCGGCAATGGTTCCATCTGAAAACGTTCTGCCGAAGCCTTGATTCAGTTAGTCGGACGCCACCAGAAATTGGGTCGGATTAGCACCCCACGAAAATGAGGTCCATCAAAAGCCTGTGTGCCGCGGCTTTCAGCTCCCATATCTTTGAGAGAGGTGGAACACGCATGGGGAGTATGGATGGCGCAATCAAGACTGTTCAGTGGGTGGATGTGCTTGTTATTTGCGGTATTAACCATGTCAGCCAAGATGCTTGGCACGTTATTACCATACCTACCTACATAACTGGAGAGTCTTGAATGTAGTCACGAAGACACAGTCTTCATTTTCATTGGACCCAGCTCTCTGCACTGAAATAATTCTTTCGTTTTCAACGAGCTCTTGTTCTCGTCATGGATATGTTGAGTTCACAAGCAGGTTCTCAACTCTGTTGTACTGCAATCTCTTTGCCAAAGTCAATCCAGTACCTAGCACCAACTAACAAAAATCAGCTAACTCACCAGAGATAGATGGCTTGTACTATTTAAATTTCACAAACCACAGGGCCGAGCATGCGGACAAATGACGCAAACGCCTCTACAGGCCCCTCCAAACCCATCACCTCACAGCAGGGCCGAAATATCAAGTCTGAGGTTGATAGAAGATTGTCTTCGATCTCATGATTTATTTCCCACCCCCCCCCTTTAAGCTCTCTACAGTTCTGCCAGAAGAATTGGTGCGACGCGAATATATCCGCCACAGTCATCCAGCAGTCCGAAAGGTGTCTACAAGCAGTCGTCAGCTTACAGAGAAGAAAAGGAATAATACGAAGGAACCCCGTGAGGGAATCTTGACTATAGATGCTCGCTGTGTACACCATCAGCCTAGTTGCGTGCGCGCTGCCGCTGTTTGTCCTGTTCGTTCTTTGGGTGTTGCGCCAGGGCTCGGATGAGACACAAAATGCATCAGTTCCTATCTTCATAATGTCAGGGACACTTTCGGGCTTTTGGGTCCAGTTCCTTGGCAGCCTTCCGTTTGCCCGGCCACGGTGACATATTAGTTCCTTCTCAAAGTGTTCTTCAAAAGTTCCAAATGCGGTGTTCCAAAAGTAGGTAAATTGACTAAATTAGAAAAGGGACAGAACTTTAAGCAACATTCCAAACTTTCAACCAGCTGTTATCACTGTTCGAAGGTATTCCCTAAGTGGAAGTGAGGTTTGGTTTGTCCAAGACCGCGGCTGTAGTTGTCGAGGAAAGTGTCGACCGTCTCAACGTCCAGACCGTCCACAACCTGAAAGGTCGTCGGCCGCAGGGTACCATTTTCGATCAGATTTGGCAGCACACCCCAAAATTCCTTCGTAATATGCGGGTATTTCGTCGTGTGACACAACACTTGGTTCCGAACGTAGCCAGCAGACTTTGACCCGATCCGAGACTCGTCGACGTCGCCTAGCTTGATCAACGCGGCCAAAACCCCTCTCTTGTGGCTGGAAAGAGCCTGGACGCCCAATGTCTGCCCACCTGGGCCGCGCCCGACGCAGTCCACAGCGAAAACCAGATCATCTCCGACCACGTCCCTGATCTGCTTCTCAATCTGAGATTCGTCCAGGGCGCGATCAATAACAGTCGTGGCGCCAAGACCCTTCAGCTGGGCCTCTCTTGCTTTCGATGCCACCACAATGATGTTTCCAAACTTCGCTAACCGGGCCAGCTGCACGCCAAAGTTGCCTGTAGCAGACCCGCCACCGATGATCAGGATTGATTCCGCGCTGTAGTCGCATTCATCCTTGTCGGCACCAAAAGGACTGCGCAAGTTCAAGCCAGTCTCGTGGAACAAGGCAAACACCATGGTCATGGCGTTCAGCGGGAAAGTCGCCGCTTCGTCAGCGCTTATACCCTTCGGCAGCGGGGCTGACTGCCATGCTGGTACGACGCAGTATTCTTGAGTGCCAGTACTGTCCGCAGAAAAGGGACTGCCGAACGCGAAAACACGGTCGCCGGCCTGGTATTGAGTAACATCGCGGCCGCAGCTAGCGACTTCCCCCACGATATCTACTCCCAGGGGCGAGGGTAAATTGTCTTTGATGAACAACCCGTATCTTTTTCCCGAGGCATCGTGGGGGTTTACTTCCGATATTTAGTATCGTTTGACACCCAAAAGAAAGGAGAAGCAATAACTACAACGAACACTTACATCCAACAATTGATACTTTTAAAAGAATTTCGTCCTCCTTTGGAACTGGAGTTGGCCGTTCAATAATTGACGGAGGCTGCTGCAGGGTGTGGATGACGAGAGCTTTGTGAGTAGACATCTTGTCAATATTTTCGATTAGAGTCTGTAATATTTGAGTTGACGTGTCGAAAGTTTCTTTTGATGTAGGAAAGAATACCGTGTGGTTAATATGTAATTGCACTTTCATACCTAGGTAGACGTTGGCATTCTTTATATGAAGTTGAAATTCCGAGATTAGTGAACATAGACTGTGGCGCTCTAGGAATTGGTAAGCTTCTACCTATCTCCACGGATTTACTATTGTCGCAAATACTAGTTTCATGACAAATGATATTCTTAGCGTAAGCACGGCAATGTGCAGGATGCTAACATCATCGGCTGATCAGCAGCATAGAGAGTTGATTTCATATCTTGTGGCTGATTCACGCCCGCTACTGATGGCAGAAACCCGCAGCTGGGCTGACGCAATTAGTCTGATTATTGATACATCCAAGTCGATGTGGTTTCATAATGTATCATACGTCTGACATTACCAAGCTTGAACTCGCGTGGAGGTAATTAAGATCACAATCTGTGTTGATATATGCAAAAGCTCCTTGGATTATCGGGAGAGTTCCCCATCTCCTGTTATTAGAATAGCCAGGTTGTATAATATGAGCTAAAAAGGGTTAGTCGTGCTAAGTGACTAGCAGGATTACCTAAGATATGCTCAACTCCTTGATCATTGGTTTCGTTACCGGCCTGAAGCCTTGTAGTCTCGACGTTTTCTAAATACTCTCCAAAATTATCCCTCCTTTGCAGAAGGCTCAATGAAGTGTACCACATTTTCTCCGTCCTAAGCTCTTGGGACCACCGATTGTCTGACTCTATGGGAGACGTGAACGTTTTGATACCTAGTAAAAGTAGATATCATGTAAGTAGTAGCTCATTCAACCGCTCATGCTGAAGCGCCTGTTGATGGGACAAGAGACTAATGGAATTCCCCGGAAGAGCTGCATTAGCGCTTAATACTGCGCGATGAACGACGCGATGTAGTCACCGTACGCCTTTACTGTGGACCTACTACTATGAAGATTTAAACCTTGCCTCCTAGAGAAGATGGTAGTTCAATAGTTGCGAGAGGTTTCGCTGTGCACAGCTAAGAAGCCTGATTATTATTCTCCCCCAATTCGCTGGAGCCCAATTTGAGTTCAATGTTTCCAGCTTCAACGAAATGTGTACCTCCCTTTATCATCACCAAGTGTACTGCAATCTCTGCCACAAAGTCAATCCAACTTCCAAGACGAACTAATAAATCCGACTAAACCCACCAGAGACGGCGTGTGCTATTTAAAGTTCACGAACCCGGGGCCGAGCATGCGGAGAAATGACGCAAACGCCTGTCCAGGCCCCTCCAAACCCCAGCCCCGGTCCCTGTAGATCCCCTCACCGCAGGGCCGAAACATCAGATGACTATGGCTGAAACGCCAGTGACGTTCCCGCCCAGCGGCCCAAACGGCGTTTCCTCTTTCTCTTTCACAAGCCTCCTCTCAAGCCTCACTCTCACACTCACTCTAACTTCTCAACCACGTGCTTCTCAAGCTGCAATCTCAAAGACAAACACGACGAAGCCCCTGACGGTCATTACCACTTACGACAACTACAGCAACCTCAGCACCCAAACCCAAGCTTGGCATAGTCAATTGACAGAAAGGCATCACAACCATGTCCAACAAAATCATCGCCAACATCGACACCCCCGACCCCTGGATCATCGCCGGCAACGGCCGCTTCTACTTCACCTTCACCCTCGACAACCGCATCGAGATCTGGTCATCCCCCACGCTCGAACACTTCCACAACCCGCAAAAGTCCACCGTCTGGCACCCCGCCCCGGGCACGCCCTGGTCCGTCAACATCTGGGCCCCCGAGCTGCACTACCTCAACGGCCGCTGGTACATCTACACCTGCGGCGCGCCCCCGGGCGTCGGCAACCCAGGCCACCGCACCACCCTCCTCCGCTGCTCCTCCCAGGACCCCATGGACGCATCCGCCTGGGAGTTCCTCGGGCCCCTCAAGGGCATGCCCGACCACTGGTCCATCGACGCCACCGTCTTCTCCCCCAACACCCGCGACCTCTACTGCTGCTGGAGCGGCTGGCCCGTCGGCGACCACTCCGACACCGAGCAGGACCTCTTCCTCATCAAGATGGCCGACCCGGAGCACGCCATCCCCGGCACGCTGGTGTGCATCTCGCGCGCGGAGCTCGAGTGGGAGCGCCCCGACGACGGCCGCCGCGGCGTCAACGAGGGCCCGTCATGGGTTGACATCCCCGGCGTCTTCCGCGGCATCGTCTACTCCGCCGACGGCAGCTGGACGAGCCACTACAAGCTCGGCCTGCTCCCGCTCGTCGGCCAGGACCCGCTCAACCCGGCGTCGTGGGCGAAGCGGTCGACGCCGCTGCTCAAGAGTCATAAGCGCTGCGGGGGGCCGTACGGGCCGGGGCACGCGAGTTTCCTACCTAACCCGCGGGACCGCAGCCGCGTGTACTGCGTGTACCACGCGACGGCGGGCTACGGCGAGGGCTGGGCGAACCGGAAGGCGCGGGTGATCGACATGGGGCCGGAGTGCTTCGCGCCGAACGCGCATCCGCTGTGTTGCGCGCTGGAGAACCACATTCCGAAGCACCACAAGAGGGATAAGAGCGGCTCCTGTGTCATGTCATGACATTCATGTCTGAGACCGATGCTCACCAATAATTCATGTAAGATACTTTGTCTTTCGTCAGGTAGATATCACGAAATGAGAGGATGAATAGTGAAAAGCTTGTTTCTGCACCTGAAGCTCTCCGACTTGAGTCTTTCATATCCGCCACACCGTAGGTGGCTTGATCTCTCACCACACTCAGTCTGCCACGAAATCCAAAACACACTGTCCAAAGAACGGAAGACAGGAAAACCCATCCCATCAAATCTCCCATCGCATGAACTCCCGGATGAACACCCGGCCCTTCCTCTAGCACAGCCCTACTCTCCAAAACGTTGTTTCGAACCTCTCCAACAACAGTAAAGTGCCACCAAACGGCTCCGGCTCCCGGCCCGAGAGCCACCACATGTACATCCCCCAAGAAAAGGGGTCCGATCACCACTTTTTTCTTTTGTCTCTTCTCTTGTTTCTTCACCACCGCCGTCTGCAGCCACAACCGGCACTTAAGCGTAGGTACACCTTCGAAACCTCAGACCCTTTCACCAAAACCACGCTAGAAGGTTACAAGATGTCGCCCGCTCGGCATTCGTTGGGCCTAGCACCCCCCAAGGTTACTCGTCGTTAGCAAATAAGACGGCAATCCGTCGTACGGACCCTCGTGCATGGCGCATCCTGCGGGTAAGCGTTAGGTCGCTCGCGCGCGCCGCGCCCGTGGGAAAACATTGCAGTGGCAGTGTTCGGTGAATCCCCATCTCCAAGGCCGGTGCGTCGAGTTTTGCAGCAGCATCTCCGCGAAACGTGGCAGCCTAGTGTCTATCATTGTTGTTGCTCTAACCAGGTCCTGTTCCTCTGGTAGTAAGCTCCTCGAATTTGCCAAAACAAAAGCTTGGAGGGCGTCTTCTTCGCGCGTTTCCATTCTTCTAGGTCCCGTCTTCCTTCCACGAGGTGGCTTTACATTTTTGCTGTTCCTTCTTGTTTTTCTGTTCCTGGATCAAAAATCTGCCCAAGATGAGGTCCAACGAGTGTACGCATAACCACGTGGCCGCCGAAACGCCGTCAACACCAAGAATGGCATCGCCAACTCCCACCACCACCCCGTCCAGCCCAGCAACGACCACGAGTAGCTCATCCTACCACTACACACACCTCGAAAGAGACCAAATCCGCCTCGTGGTCCTTGAACCCGCAACTGACCCATCACACACCCTCGTCTGCCGCATCTTGACATGCCACCGCAACGACGCGCCTCCATACGAAGCCATCTCCTTCACACCACCCTCCGACGACAATACAACATCGACAATCACTGTCCTCCCACCCATCCTTGCGCCAACATCGCCAACCCCTCTCCAAATCCCATCCTCAACCGCCGAGGCCCTCGCAACCCTCCGCCTCCACACCGGCCCGCGCACCCTCTACCTCCCAGCTCTCAGCATCAACGCCTCCTCCCCCTCGGAACGAAGCTCCCAACTCCTCCTGACGCCTTCAATCTTCCACGCCGCAACCCGCGTCACAATCCCCCTCCTCTCCGCCCAAAACCACACCGAGGCAATAACCTACATCTCAACATCCCGCTTCCGCAACCCCTCCCCCTCGACCCTAACCCTCCTCCACTCCCTCTTCGCCCACCCATTCTTCTCCTCCACGCTCTCCATCCTCCACCTCTCCCGCGCCCGAAATGCCGTCATCATCCACCACGCCCTCGAAGTCCCGCTCTCCAACTTCTCCCTCGCAGCCCGCCTCCTCCCCCTCCACGCCCCGATCCTCCAGCCCGTCCGAAGGCTCAAACAGCGCGGCTACATCTCCACCCTCACAACCTCCCAATTCGTAAAAGCCCTCTGCGAAGCATCGCCCTGCACGACCCCCGACCCGCGCGACCGCGTCTTCGCCTTTCTGGCGCTGTACCCCTTCCCCATGACCAGGCCGCAGATCGACTCGTACCGGCGCTCGGGGTTCTTCTCAGGCGACGCCAGCAACGCTTCAACCCGCGGCAAGGGGGAGGCTCTCGAGAGGGTGGCTAGTGCAGTCGAAGCCATCGAGGATGAGAAAACGCGGCGGCGGATGGTGAATTACACGGCCCCCGTGGAGACAGTCTACACCAACTTCGCGACGCTCCTCCTCGAGACCACAGGGCTGGACTTCCTCTCCGCGGTCCAGGGGAAGGGTAGCGGTGTGCCGAGCTGGGTGCCCGACTGGCGCGTCACCCACTCGCGGACGATACTGGCGCATCTGCCACTGACGGAGTTTAATGCCGGCGGCGGGCGGGAGCAAGCTTTCCGCATCCTCACAGGGGAAACCGGTGCGAAGTTGGAGGCTCCGGGCATCTGCTTGGGGGACGTGAAGACCCTCGGGGCAGCGTGCGATGTGTCCTCCCCTGGGTGGGAAGATATCGTCTTCCGTCAGTGGAGGGGCATCGTCGAGGCAAAGACAACAAAAGAGTGCCCTACCAAAATAATAGAGCGCTTCATCCAGACAATCATGACCGACTCCGACGATGAATACGTCGATGCCCGAAGGGTAATCTGTCGACGACTGTTGGCTCCTGAGGAGAAACGCAGGGTGGAGGGCAAGCACCTTTTCGAGGGGGTAGACGAGGAGGCCGTGACGAAGTTGCGCATTAGCTGCCACGGGCGAAGGTTCTTCGTGGCTTCGAACGGCGGGATGGGTTTGGTGGCGAGTGAGAGCCAGGAGAGGGACTTTGTGGCCGTCCTGCCTGGCGCACGACTACCGTATAGCTTCCGTCACCGGTACGATTCCGCGTCGGCCGAGGTGGAGTTAGTCGGTGAGTGCTTTGTGCACGGGATGATGAAGGGGGAGGCGTTTGGCCGGGGTACTTCATTCGTAAAGCGAGATATTCGCATTTGTTAGACGTGGTTCGGGTTATTTGGCGTTCAGGTTTCACGGGACAGCAAGCGAGAAGGGCACTGGCGATAGATCAACATGAGCAAATGTATTCAAGCTCTCAATTGAGGCAGTCGTGTCTATGGTATCATGGCAGTGTATACGCCCATCATTATGATTATGCAGATTTCCACGCTCGATCATATCGTTACTTTCATCGCACTAATAGTCACACGCGCTTCTCGCTTCGTCGAGATCAGATGCCGTTGCTAGCACAGCCGAACACTTTGCCGACGGTGCCGGCCTCGAATTCTTGAATAATGCCCTCGACACTCGCGTAGGTTCCGGCGGTCAAAAACAGGAGGCCAGTCAGGATGATGATGATGTTGAGCGCCATGGAGAAGAGGTCAACAAGCTTGTTCGGTTTGGGGACGCCGGCGCGGTTGTCGGCGCCTCGCATGCGGAAGTAGGCGACTCCCCAGAAGACGAATCCGAAGAACGAGTCGAAAAGCGAGGACATGAGGGACAGCACTGCCGATGGTTAGAATGAAAGCCTGTAGTATGAAGCGGAAATACTTACGGGAGGAGAAGAATGGAATGACCTCGGCAATCAAGAACGCCAATAGCCAGAGGGCGACTGCACTTGTTAGCTGAGAGCTTCGAGATTTATACAGTCATTACTCACGCAAAATGGTGGCCCATGAACCCCAGCCGATCACGGTATGCTCGTGCAAGTGCTTTGTGCCCTTGAACAAGCGGAAGAAGAGGAAGCGGGCCGACACACTGGCGTACAAAACACCAAGGAAAATGAGCGTCGGAATCATGAAGGAGAATGACACCTTCTTGTACACATCCTCGAGAGACCCGAACGCCGGCGCGGTCATGTACTGGTTGCCGGTGTAGGCGTAGATGACAGCTCCCACGATACTGAAGACAATGATCTCGCCAATGGTGACGGCCCACAGAGCCTTAGGGAAGTCGCGGGGATCCTTCATCTCGGCGATGAAGCTGGGCAGTGTGATCTGGCCGATGAAGGTGTAGCTGATGTTCAAGAAGGCGTTCATGCCCGACACAAAGGTGGTGCCAGCGACGGGAATGGCGGTGACGATGGGGTTTCCGCCCGTCTGGGTGACGCCGTTCTTGTCGACGTAGGAAGTACGAGGATCGTAGCCGGCGGGATGCGCCTGGATACCAGCAAAGATGGTCGCCAGCAGCACCGAGATGAAGGTGAAAGCGGCCGAGGCAGTTCCGGCTTTGGAGAGGGCGTCAAATGTCCGCGGCAGGGACGAGATCCAGCAGATGATGGTGACAACGATGGAGAAGACGACGGTGCGGCAGACGACGGGGTCCGTCTCGGTCATGGTGTTGAGGTACTTTGCACCAACGAGGACGTGGAGGCCCTAGAAGTTTGTCAGTTGCTGTTCTCGGAGCGTCCACCGTGTCACTGACTTGAATGAACTATCGATTGTTAGCAAGATGTGTGATATTGGTGGGCGCTGCAGACGTACTGTGTTGTTCAGGATGAACATGACGGCGGTGGCGTACCAGGCCCATTTCTTGCCCCAGAAGAGCATCTGGCCAATGTCGCACACGTCGCGCACCTCAGGATGCCTCAAGCAGAACTGCCAGAGAACCAAAGATCTGCGCTTGTGAGCGGGAAAGTCTGAAGTTACAGGTAAGAGGCTACTGACGTGTAGAGGACGATCAACGCAATGACAGCCGTGAGGATCAGTCCGGGAACGAGGCCCAGGATGCTATACGACCACGGGAAACTCATGATAGCCTGCCAAAGTCAGTCAATCGCGTTTCCTCCATCACCACAATCCTAAACTCACCAAGCAAATGTACTCGGAAAACAGCAATCCAGCAGTCTATCCCACATGATTAGCACACCTCTCCTCCCAACCCAAGGTCACCGTCGCATCATGCCGCACCTTTTGCCAGCTACACGTCCTGTACTTGATCGCATGCCCGTCCTCCTCGGCAAGCTGCTTGCCCAGGATCGCATCGGCGCTGACGTCGCTGTCGGAGCCGTCCGCAAGGCCCTCCTGCACGAGTGCTATCCTCGGCCCGACCTTGGTGTTCCGCCCGCCGAACCAGGCGCTCCATCCCGTCGAGCCGCCGCCGGACTCGGGGTCGGCGCGCGCGAAGTTGAGCTCGGAGGCGGTCTTTTCGCCCTCGGGCTGGCGGAGTTCCTTGTTCATGGCGGAAGACGTCTCGATTGTGCAATTGAAGACGTCCCGGTGGGTTTCGTGGTGGAGCCCGGTTGAGGAAAACGGGTGATGCGATGAATCGCGCAAAGGCGACTGTCGTCTAATGATGCCGCGCCGAACGAGTGAACCGTGAGGAATGGCGATGCTATGCGACGACGATGGGGGTATGCGACGGAGGGCGCTGCACGGTTAGGGACGTGGCATGTGTGTGGGAGTGCGAGAGAGGGAACGGATGGAGGGGAAGAGATGAAGTAATGTCAGAAGTTGAGAACAGACTGCGAGCGGCGCACGGAGGGAGGGGAGGATGATGACGAGAAGAACAGGCAGAACAACACGTGGGACGTGCAGGTATATGAAGTCAGGTAAGGTAGAGAAGAGGGAACGACGGGAAGAGGAATGATCAGCTCCCCATCGAGTTGCAGTCGCAGTCGCAGTTGCAGTTCGATTCCTTCAGATACGGGGACGGAAGCATGGAACATGGGACATGGGGTCTTGGACGCGGGTTCCTTGCCATGAAGACGTAGGCAAGGTACTCTTCTACCCTTTGAGCCCATAAGCAAGGTACTCTTTACAAGCAAGCTAGGCATGAAGCTACATGCTGCACACATGTCAAGCTACATACGCTAGAGTCTAGAGCAGATCAAATGGGAAGAGAAAGGGAATTCGCCTTCCTCGGGCAACGAACATGTGCAGCACAAACACAGAGAAAGTACATGCCAGACACACGTCCTGCCAGGCAAAATCCCATGTACATCCTCCATGGGCAAACAAGAAACACAGCTCCCGCTAGCCTCTCTCTTCTTCCTCCACACAGATTACAATACCCGCAGCGGACGCCAGCCACCCAGTAGGAAGCTAGCAGAGACCAACTCGCCAACGCGGGAGGCAACGATGTGGCCTGGAGGGGAGGGGGGAGTGGAAACGGAGTCCGCCCCGGGCAGAGATTTCACCACGCCGGCCTACGACCGAGTCTCTCTCAGTACTTCTTAGCAAACAATGCGCTTTTTCCAGAGCACGTCATCGCGGGATGCGGCGACGGCGTTGAGCCACGCATCTCTCGCCTACTGCCGTCGGCAATAACCAGACGTAAGAGCCAGCCCGGACTGCCCTTAGCGGCGGGCCAGGCGAACGTTTCCTTGCGCCTCCAAGCCTTGCCTCGACGGTCTATCCGTAGTGGTCGATAAAGAGCCAATTGAGTCGGGAGGTTGGCGGATGCAGAGAGAACAGGACAGGGATCGGCGGAGAACAAGCATCGAGGGATGCGCCACCGGGAAAGCTTGGTGACGTCGCGTCGGTGTGGCCCGGAGGTTTTTACTGTGCCCATTGCCAAGCGCAGAGTCCAAGAGATGGCCAAGTGGCCAAGAGATGAGGCGACGTCTCGGCACGCGGGGGAAGAGGAAGCTTGGCAGGGCCATTTGCGTTCCTCGGTCGGCAGTGTTTGACTACAAGCCGCATTCAACTGTGCCTGCACCTCGACGACTCAACTCGGGTTCATTGCTGGAAGAGCTGCCCAAGGAGAATGAGAAGGGAATGAGAAGGGCACTCTCTGCCGAGTCATCTTGTTCATTACAGCGTCGCATACGCAAAGATGCTTCGGGCTTGAAACTGGGGACGCCAGACACCACCAGCGATGGCCCCAGTGGGCGGTCTGGCAGACGAGCTGGGATGTAGCATGCAGCATGCAGGGTCAGCTCAGCAGCGGAGAAACGACAATCGGCATGGAAGCCAAGCATTGGACGCGCCGTGGAACGGGCGGCAGCCCACAGGGAAATACTGCGTAAGGCGGACAGGCTTTCTCTGCGTCTTCATCATGGTGGTTACGTTGAGCGAACACACACTCTCACACACCTAATGCCATTTTGACACTCTCGGAAAGGCATGAGGCAACTCTGTCCAGAGACAAAACCAGTGAAAAGACGAGATGGCACGAACAATCAGGATAAACGCGGGAGCATCGTCCACACCCAACACAGCTTCTGTTCACAAGTTCCAACCGCGGTCGGGATCATGGCTGCTCCCAAACAGAACGTTTGAACACTGATGGAACACTTAGCAGCCGCAAAGAATTGCGCCATCGGAATTCACAATTGCATCAGACGGGAGACAAAGTGTAAACTGGCCATCCGATTCGACGGCGTATGCGAGCCCTTGCCCGTCCCGCCGCTCTGGAACGATCTGGGTTCCTGGGCTCGATGCGCAGCCGGAAAGCAAAAAAATGCAGCAAGTACTTAGTTTATGAAAAATGCTACCCGTAAAATGCAAGGAACCGTAAAACTCCACCGTCCTTGCTTCCTTCTTCCGTCCGGGATGGGTGCTGTTCTGTTTGCCCGCAAACACCAGGCCGTCGTCCATGCTTTGATGCCAGAATGCCAATGCGTATAAATACATAACACTATGGTGATGTTTCCTGTTGTCATCATGGCCATATTTCCTCCATGCTGTTTCCTCCCATCGTAAAATGCCGTCGTCTTTCTTCAGCCACCTCAAGGCACCTGCGTCTCGTCGAAATCACACCACCTGCGAATAACCTCATCCACCGCCTGGATCCCCTTCTTCGACGCATCAATCTGGAACCACTCCCGGTGCACCGACGTGCACCCGTCGCAATTAATCGGCCCCGCGTGCAGCCCCATGCCCTGCAGCTCGAGGTGAATCAGCCGCTCGACGCGATGCACATGCGGCACCATCCGAGGCTGCTCGCCCGACGCCTGGCTCGCGCCCGGGATGTAGGGGTAGTACCGCAGCACCTCGATGTCGTACGAGCACTGCCGCGACCACTGCTGCATCCGCCGCTGCACGTTGGCCGCCCGCCCGATCTTGATGAGCATCTTGTTGTCCGGCGCGCCCTTGCTCGCGTGCGCCACCGCCGACGCGACGTCGCTCGTGCGCCGCTGTCTGCCGCCCCCGCGGTCCGCTGACGGCGGCGAGAGCAGCCCGCGCGCCTCGTTGACGGGCGCGCTGGCCTTTTTGGACGTCGCCATGATCCAGAACATGTAGATGTAGCCCGGCTCCTCGGAGCTGCCGTAGGGCCGCGCGAGCTCGGCCATGAGCGCCGACGCGACGGACGGCTCGGTGGTGCCGGGGATGAGGGCGAGGTACTGCGCCGTCTGGTGCTGCGAGAGCGGCTGCGGCGAAGCCTGGTTGGAGGAGCTCTTGCGGGAGTGGCGGCTGGACGTGCTCGGGCGGCCAGGGTTGCTCGTGCTCGCGTTCGGGGAGAGGTGGTTGTTGGAGGGGCGGGAGGAGGCTGGCGGCATGGCGGCGGAGCCTCCGTTCTGGACGGGACGCGGCTGCGGGCGCGGCGGGATGTTTTCTTCCTGGGGATCTTCGCCGAACTCTAGGGGGATGGTGAAGCAGCAGCAAAGGGTGATTTCCCTCCGCGGCCTCGACTGTGAGCTGTATCCTCCCTGGGGCTTCTCGCCGTCTGTCGATCCTCCTGCGTTCGGTCGCGGGCGCTTGTTCTTCTTGCTCACGTCGGAGCCGATGTCGACGAGGCCGAGGCGGTCTGCGAGGGTGTCGATGCTGGTGCGCTCTTCGAGGATGGGCTGGCCGGAGACCCGGGGCGCGGGGCTCGACTGGGAGGAGCGGCTGGCGGCTTGGTCGCGGTGGTGATGGCAGTAGAGCGACTCCTCCTTGACGGTGGGCGAGAGGCGCTTGCCGCGGACGGGGGTGACGGGGTTGCGGCAGAAGTTGCCGTTGGTGGTGAGGCCTTTGCAGGTCGTGTTAGGGTTCTTGGAGTCGGAGCGCCCGAGGCGGTCTTCCGGTGTATTGGCGACGTAGCCCATCGTGTCGCGTATCTCGGTGTCGTCTCGTGATGGTGTTTCGGATGGTCGGCCGAGGATCGTGACAATGGTGTTCTGGTGTTTTTGCTGCTACCTTTGGTAGATTCGAAAAAAAGTCGAAATATTCCTTGAGCAAGACAGCAGCGACTGGGTTGAAATACGGGATCCGCAAAGACTGCGATGATGATGCAACAACACTTGGCAGCGTGAGTTGGCCTTGCTTGCTCCCCCGGACTCACGAACACGTCAAGGGCAGAGCAGGGCGTGAATCAGGGCCAGACCGACCGGGAGGTGATGCCAACGTCAACAACGTCGGGTCTCTCTGTCCGTCTCGCGACCTGCAGCAGCATGGGAGGTGAACAAGCGAGAGGAAGCATGGCTTGTGGGTGGTGACTGGGTGCGCGTTGGGCTCCTCTTGACTGGGTCCTGGGCGTGGACTCGACGTGACCGGGTCTGAGTCGCTGGCCGCTGGACTCGAGGCCACACGCGACACCGCTGTCCTCTGCCAGCCCACTGACCCCCGGTGGTTGGGAGGGTCAGTCTAGGTCAGGTCACGTCTCGGTTCTCGCGTGCTGCTGCCTTCGTTAGGGCATTGTCGGTCGCTTTCGGGGCTCGCGACAGGGCGGTAAGCCTGCTTGAGCGCCTGCATGGGAAGAGGTGGGTAACTGGAGCTGAGCTGGAGCTGCACGCGATGTCATCCCAAGGTGAGGCTTGGACGGCACAGCCACGCACGGCCACATGCATGAGGGTGGCTGGGCATATTCACTCCCAGCCACTCATGCCTAGCCGCTCCTACCTAGCCACATGTGCAGCCACACTGCTAATCCATCAGCCACAAAACACCAAGAAATCATCGTGAGTTTCGAGCCGGAAACCATACAACGTCGGGGTCATCCAGTACCAAGTGGCAAGAGGAGCAACTGTTCGTGTGAATTAGGTGCCTTACCCACGCCAGTGGAGAGTGTCCACCTACCCTTTGTGCTTGTGAATGAGGATTCTGGCCTGCACTTTCAGTAATAACGCGATACCAGCGGCCACTTGCAGGTTGCTCGGATTTGCCTGTTGCATCCTGTACTCATGTTTAGATGATGTGAAACTTCCTGATTGCAAACAGCCCACAACGTGATTTCACCTGGGCGCATTGCACACCAGTTAGGAGTAGTTGTCTTTTGCTGCGATTATGACGTGACTTGAAGGAAAGAGGGAATTTGACCTCTAGGGAAAACGCGCAGTTAACCACAAGACACAAAAAGGTCGATCACTCTGACAGACTCACAGCAACCAATCTATTACAGCTGCTATTGCAATATTACAGCTGGGCCACCTCGCGGCTGTTTTGGACACAGTACAACACCACCATTATGCAGTTCATTACGCTCAGATCCTTTTTCCATACCCGCAACAAAATAAATCAGTTATACCTCGCACTCTTCAACTCCGAGCCGTGCTCCTGATCTCTCGGGCTCCCCACCGCGACCTGGAACTGCACACCATCACGTCCCTCGTCTCCCTTCGCGGTCTCCTGCCTGACTTCATGCGTGACATGGACCTGGATGATCCGGCGGGTCGACTCACCGTCCTCCGAGGAGTGCAAATCGCGATCACGGTCGCCGTTGACCGTGTCAGGGTCCGGGTTGGACAGTTTCACGTGCGTGCGGCGCCCGCCGGTGCCGCCGATGGTGACGAGGTTGATGTTGTGGCCGGAGGGGCGCGAGGCGTACCGGTCGCCAGAGCCGTAGGTCGAGGCCAGTCTTCGGAAAAGGGGCCGCAGCATGGGCAGGGAGCCGCAGATGATTCCGAGATCGCATTCGAGAACTGTTAACAGGACGATCTTGGCAATGGTGTCTGTGAGGCAAATCATTAGTTCCACCTTCGATAACATTCATTTTTCTTCCCGCCTTAAGGGGTGACAAGCGAGAGGGAAAGGGGATAAGACTTACAATATTTGTCAACCTTCGCTGTGTACGCCCAGGTGTAGCCGATGCGGATAGTCGTAGCCACGGCGGCGAAAACACCCAGGGACAAGATACCAACAGTTGCAATCTTGGCCTTCTTGGGCACCTGCATATGGCGAAGCAGGAACGCGGGCACCATGGCGGTAGCAATGTCCGTAAAGATGTTGGCGGCCGATACAAAGTAGGAGACGTGCAAAATAACCTGCTGTCCCGAGGTGCAGTCTCCAGGCTCGCCCCAGGCGGCAGAGACGGGCTTGCACTGGAAGATGGCAACGGGCCACGAGATCTGCCAGACTATCCAGCACAGCGCAAAGAGGCCCCAGAGGATGTGTCGGTATATCTTCCTTGTGTCTTTGGCAACCCGGAGCAGCGTCCAGATAATGCTGGACTTGATGAGGGCACCGTCCAGCACGTAGAGAAACTGCCAGATAATCGTCCACAGTCCGATCTGGTACATCATGCCGACGGTGATAACATCATCGTGGGACCCGATTCCTCTGTATGCAAGCACGATGACGGACGCATTGTGTCCGAGGTTGATGATCTGAGAGAAGGTTTCAGCGATCTGAGTTTTCCATCAAGAGACAGCTTGGTAACTGCCGCGCAGAGACTTACCCATCCTGCAAGCATCAACCAGTCCTCGGTAGAAAAGGACTTCAGCGTGATGCGGACGTGGAAACGCAGACACACCACCGCGCTGGACAGGACGGTCATGACAACCGCCACCACCAACATGATGAGCGCCAGGCCCTCGGGCTGGATGGGCTCGAACTTGGTCGTCATCAGATCCTTCGCCATGGTTGCGGTTCTGTTCAGGCTGCCCGCTGCACCCGTCGTGTGTGGTTGGACTGTCTCCGAGATAGCTTCGCGGTTCGAGAAAACTTTCGCAGGAGGGGCTATTCCGACGAATAAACGGGGAACGACGTCTTTTTCAGCATTTATCCATGGTCCGCCTTGGGTTAGTGTCCGCGGGATACGGTTCTTGCTGGCATAATAAGTTAATAACCCGAATGGTCTTTCTCCAGAATCCCATAGGGGATCATCACTTCCCAAAGAAGGGAGATGTGGTGCCATTAAGGGGGCGGCTGGAAACGGGGCTGTCTAGTAGGGCATCAAACAACGAATTTCTCACCGATGACCGATCAAGACGAGATATCCACTCCTCCTCATGAAGACGGTACAGGGTGGTGGGACAGACAGGAAGGATGTCCCAGGGTTCCGAATCCTGTTGGCTTCACGCCCCCTGCAGGTCTGCGTACGCGTGTAGGCGAGACGCACAATCCCGTCGCGGCACGGTAGCCAAAGACGGAACGTTGGCGTATGCCACCCGTCCAGCCAAGATGTATGCCAAGATTCTGCAGCGGCACTTTCTTGTTCTGCAGCGGCAGTTCTCTGTAGCGGCAGCCATCTCGGGGGTTTCTACTGCAGCTTATCATCGTACGCTCCCCACGCGAGGTGCCCTCATCGAAGTCGAGACGATTCTACACCTGGACCCCATGCAAGGCACAATTTCCCAGCAGACCGGAGTATTGCCCAATTTGAGTTTCCTTGTTGGGGGCGGCCGTGCTGAATCAGGACCGGAAACCAGCTCGTTGGGTGGGATCATTGTCGATTGTTACTCGCGACTCGAGCTGTTGGTGCCGGTTCCACTCAAATGTGCCGGGTTTAACTGCATCTTCCACATTCCGGACGGGGAGTTAGAGAACAGCACGCTGTAGCAATGTACGAATAGGAAATTGAGCGATATCTCTACATAAAGACGCGGTAAACGCGGGGTTGATGCTGGAGCCTAGGCGGTGAGGAAGGGTGGTGGTGTTATATATTGGGAACACCTTCCGCTCTTCTGGGCTGTCGGTGCAAACTACAACCCAAACCCCGCGATATCACCAGAAAAGACTGACCGCTGCAACACACCCAGAAGATGTCGACAACTACGACCGAAGAGCTCCCCGTCCTGCCCGAGGGCATCACCCCCGAGTGGCTCGGGGCCAAGCTTGGCCACAAGATCAAGTCGCTCGAGAACACACGCAACATCTGGGGCACGGGCAGCAAGCTCTTCTACACCATTACGTACGAGGACGGAAACGACGCGGACGAGTCCCGGCCCAAGCATGTCTGCATCAAGGGCGTCTTCAGCAAGGAGATGGTCGAGCAGCAGCCTTGGACCGTCAGCCTGGCCCAGCGCGAGGCCGAGTTCTTCTCCAAGATCGCGCCCACCGTCCAAGGAAGCATGATCTTCCCCAAGGGCTGGTGGAGTGGCACGAGCGAGAAGCAGGGCATCGCCGTCATGACCGACCTCGTTCACGAAGGGTGCACCTTTCCCCCGGAGGTCGCCGCTTACTCAGTCGAGAAGGTGAAGAATGGCGTGGAACAGCTCGCCGGTCTGCATGCGCAGTACTGGGGTAAAAGCCAGGAAGACCATCCCTGTAAGATGATCCCCATTCCGCTTCGTTTCTTTCACTGGCGCCTTTCTCGCTCCCTAGGGCGGCGGCCGCTCCCTTTTGATCACCGTTTAGAGGAAATCATAGTCTGACCGATGAGCAGGGATCTGGAATAACTACGACCCAGCAATGAAGTTTATGTGTACGCCATGGCACGACGTGGTCCGCGAGCCCGGCCGTCCCAAGCTGCCAGAGTACCTGATGGACGGCGCGCGATGTAACGAGGCGCTTGACCGGTACTACGCCGAGCGCAACCCCCGGTTCCGCACGCTTCTTCACGGTGACACGCATCTCGGAAACGTCTACTTTACCGGCGATGGACGTATCGGCTTCCTCGACTGGTCAGCTTTCCACTTCGGATCGTGCTTCCACGACATCGTCTACCACATGACAGCCATGCTTACCATCGAGGACCGCCGCGCCCACGAGATGGAGATTCTCGACCACTACCTCGAGACCCTGCACCGCAAGGGCGGTCCCAAGTTCGACCGCAACGACCCCGAGCTGATGATCGAGTACCGCCGCTCCTTCATGACCAACGTCATCTGGCTGATTTGCCCCGACGCTCTGCAGACCAAGGAGCGCGTGCACACTCTCTGCGAGCGCACCGTTGCTGCTTACAACGACCACAAGGTCATCGACGTGATCCTCGACCAGCCCAAGCCGTCGGTCGCGGCATGCAGCAAATGAAGCCAAGAAATTCGTCGACGCGGGGTCCAGGAGCCGGCTGCAGGCGGATGACTCGCGAGAGAGGAGAAGTGTTACTACTTTTGTTTATGCGGCAGTGACAGATGCTGGGACTGGAAGGCAAGAAAATCACTCGCGACTGGGGTGGGAAGATTTCCAACCCATTTTGGGAATAGGAAGCTGCTTGGGCAGCGTGTTGGCTCAGGGGCTAGATGCACATGTGAAGTTGAACGCACGATTGTGGAGAGACATCATGTAGACGAGTTGAAGAAGTGGTATCCCGCCCGACCCACATGCGGCCATCGATTTGGTGCTGACTGGAGTCTGCCACCAACACGGAGTTCAGCAGACAAGGGGGGCACCAGCAGGGGATGTTGAGCTGCCTCAGCCTGCATGGGCCAGCGTGGACGGATGATCGCCAGGGATATCTAGCCCAGACACGGTAGCGAAGACTTCATTATCTGTCAGAATAATATAGCCGAGTTTCTGGTCGACTCGAAAGGCTCTGTGCCTTGAAGATAATCACGAAATGTGAACGGGCGGTTGGGTCGACAGGTGATTTTGCCAGCAGGATGGCCCCGCTTGCCTAGCTTCCGGCCGTTGGGGCTTGGCTTGTGCGAACAACAAGACCCTTGTCTTCGCTGGCAGGCATGGCTCGAGTCATGAGCGAGTCCCAGAGCTGGGGTTCCGGGCACACGGAGTGATCCGGGACTCATCTGCGCAATGTGAGCTTTCTTCTTCTCCAGGTCCAAACGGGTCGCAGCAAGCAGCCTGGTCGTGTCAGGTTCACCGTAGACCCCCAGCGTTAATTTCCTTGCAAAACCCGACAACTTCGTAAAGAGCAGATCCATTGGCGGGACGTACTCTTGAATGACTCCCAACACATGGTTTCGGGGAATAATGTCAAAGGGAATACAGTTCGAGCAGGAATTCTCCTTAGAGAGTGTCATTCGCGTGGTCAATATCGAAAGCTTGTCTTCAAGTTAGCCGAAGGTCATCCCAGGTAACCCAGGAAACATTTCATTGGAAAGCCCTGCGTACAAGAGTTAGCATATTTCCAGATGGGACGGTGCCTCCCACAACGATAATTGTGCGTTTCAAACCTGACCGGGCACCCGAGAATTATGTGATCTCCCATGATTACTATTCTTAAAGATGTACCACCTAAATTCTAACACAAGCACCACGTTGTCCAATAGCTGCAGGTAATGGTATCTTGGAGCGAAGAAGGACCCCTGATTCCAGACATTATTTGATATGTTGATGTGAAAGGTAATGCTACCCAGTTCCAACGCATCGTAACATGGGTGATGGGGCGTTGTGAATGCCCCATTCGTGCTCCACCGGGGATGCCATCCGTTCGGGGGCTAACTACTGCGGTAGGCTAGCCTTTTTGATCCAGCCAGGGTTCGCTTCGATATTGCTCATATTGACTGCGTGGAACCACGGAACCGGATAATTCGAGATTTGTGAGAAGTGCAAAAAAGACCAGAAAGGTCGAAGGGATGCGGCAGGATGCCGGTGGAAGCGGCGCAACGGAGTGGGATCGGCATGATCAGACAACAGATCTTTGCCTCATCCGAAGCTGAAGGCCGGCGGCTGGGTTCGGCGAGGCGGCGAGAAGGCGGCGCACCGGGCGGGCGGTTTAGCTCCCGCGACCGAGCGTGGTTCGTCTTGTGCCCAGTGCAGCAACAGCAACGTCGTGAATTCATCGTCGCATCGCAAAGCACTGTCGTCTGTCTTTCACATCGACCAAGACGTATTTCCTATCAAAGTAATGGTCCAACGCACAAAAATCAATAGGCATTGAAACACGCATTACTCTTTTATTTTAGCAGTTGCTCGTTTCTGAACATCTGTTCCAACATGCTAATACTGTGGATATTTACAGCTTATTAGTGAACATGGAGTCCACCACCTCCCATAAATACAAAAGAGAGGACAGAAGGCACAAAGCACGAAAGGACCACGATCAGCGCAAATTGACTGAGATGGTTCTCACGCCCAGCGCTGCGCGATTGGCTGAGCTGACGCTGTGCCGTAGACCCGCATTGCTCCAGCCTCTCCTTCATGGATGCTTCACTCATTTCGCGGGGTCGATCAATTGACGAAAACGCAGCCAGATTCTTTGCGGCCTCTTACGCCTCTGGCCACAAATGAATTGACGCACAACATGGGGTTCTCTAAAGTCCTGCAACGCTTGAAGCCATCATCACGCTCCAGTAGCGGCAGTACGGATGTACAACGTGCTCGCCATGACCGAAGCGCCCACACGCCGGTGCCATCCGACGATGTATCGTCTGCCATCAGTCAACAAGACCCAGCGGATGATTCTGAAGCGATCACAGTCACCGAGCCACGACGATCCTTGATGCATGGTCGAAGTCTAAGTCCATCACCACGCGCAACTGAGCAGCCGCAGCCGACAGCGTCGTTGACAAGCGACACATCTTTGCTTTGGAGCCGTGCTTACGAAGCTCTGCGGGAAGAAGATGCACAGTTGGTGGAGCATTACGAGATACTTCTTTCCCGAGAGTTACAAGGTATGCCTTCCTGATAGAGTGTAACAGGATATGTACAGACTGACTCCTTTTCAAGGAACTTGTCAACAGCACGATGACGAACGCCGACATGGCAACCGAATCGACATTGATTCCGACAAGCGTTATGCTCAACTAAAGACTATCACCGACCGAGGCCTTCGACGCGCCGATGATAACCGAACGAAATACACTCTATTTGGGCACCAATTTATCCTGAGGGACCAGGTTCAACAGGCTGCTCAATTTGTGCAGACTATGAAAGGCATTGTCGGTGAGGCTGTCAAGGCGTCTTCCGAGGCGTCCCTCGTCTGGGCCGGGATATGTGTCTTACTACCAGTCTTCACCAATCCAAGTGCGGCAGAGGAAGCCAACCGTGACGGCTTGTCGTATGTCGCCTCTCGTCTTCCATACTACGTCCAACTTGAACGTCTTCTATGGCCAGAAAACCTGCTCGAAATAGGACCAAAGGCGGAGTTCCACGGCCATATCGTCGATCTCTACCGACATATCCTTGAGTTTCAGATCAAGACGGTCATCCGATTTTACCGGAAATGGCTTGCTAACATGAGTCGCGATATTATTCAATACGACGATTGGAAAAGGATGATTTCCAATATACAAGAACGAGAGCAAATCATACGAGAAGAATCAAACACTCTGAATAGCATTGCTTCGCGGAATACCCTAGAAGCCATCAGCAAAGTCGCACAGCAAAACTACAATGACATGCAGTCGCTTCTATCGGTTGCAAAGGATCATCTCGATGTTTCAAGGGAACACCGCGACATTTCGGCAGAGCAGCTTCAGCTCCAGATGTGCGTTCTCTTGTGCCTGAATGCAGACAGTCTGCTGACGCATAGTAGCGAAATGTTCAACAGTCGCCCTCTCGACCTTTGCGTTGTCAACGAGGCGCGCTTCGACAGTGCGGATGTGCAAGACAGGCCGAGATGTGAGAACGGTACTCGGGTCCGCGTTCAGGAATCGATATACAACTGGGCAAACGATGACTCTGGCGAACCGTTCTTCTGGCTTGTGGGACCGGCGGGGACCGGCAAGTCTACCGTTGCACGGACGATTACAGACTCTTGGGCTAAGCGGAAACAACTTGCTGCTGGTTACTTCTTCAAAAGAGGAGAAAAGGGCCGCAATGACACCAGTCGGTTATTCGCCACTATTGCTGTGCAGTTGGCTGATACGATTCCCTGCTTTCAAGAGCTTCTTCGGCGCTCGATCGACGGTATGGACGTAGATGCCATCGGAGAAAGGGGCCTTAAGACGCAGTTTGATAAGCTTATCATGAGTCCCCTCATGGCTCTCGAATCCGTCCATAGCAGCCGAAAGCCTATGGTTATCGTCATCGATGCTTTAGATGAATGTGAGCGCCCTGAGCATCTATCACAGGTCATAACACTACTGGACAAGCTTCGTGACATCCGCACAGTACACTTGCGTGTTCTGTTCACGAGCAGGTTCGCATCCGAGGCCAACGGGGCATTTGAGCCCTTCATCAGTCACAAAAATGCTCGAAAGTTTGAGCTTCACCGCGAATTCTGTGAAGATGCCAAGTCCGACATCCAGACCTTCCTGATGGTCAAATTCGCAGAAATCAAAAAGAGGCGCAAGGTGCAGCAAGACCCGTGGCCTGCCGATGAAGATCTGGCTCGCATGGTTCAACTAGCCACGACCCCTGAACCCCTCTTCATCTACGCCGCTACTCTTTACCGTTTCGTCTTTGACGAGAAACGCCCAAGCAACCCGAAGAAACAGCTAAAGCTATGGCTTAAGCAATGCGAAGAGGGGAAGTCCCAGCTACATCAGATCTACGATCCTATTCTCCGCCAGATACTTAGCGACGAGGAAGCAGACTCTGACCAGCAGCTGAAGTTCCTTGGGCTCTTGTTCTTCTTGCTACCCCGCTATCTGCTGCCTCACTTACCGCTCTCCTGGGTATGGACATTGATGACGTCAACTGGTGGCTCCTCGAGTTACATGCAGTGCTGGAAATACCCCCCGAACGTCATCGCCCCATCCGATTGCTGCATAAATCGTTTAGCGATTTTCTTCTGCACTCCGATGATACAGGCAACGGTAAGCATATCGTAAACGCAACAGCAACACATGCCATGCTAGCCGCACAATGCATTCAACGCATGAAAGCAGGGCTCAGACGGGACATTTGTGGCATTGACAAGCCCGCAGTACAAGGAGACGAGATTAACCAAGACTTGATTGACACACATATCCCCGCCGATCTCCGGTATGCTTGCCTTTACTGGGTTTATCATTTACAACAAAGTGAATGGTCTCTGGGAGATGACATCTGCGAGTTCATCTACGAGCACTTCCTTCACTGGTTAGAAATATTGGCACTCTTGAGCAAAATGTCGGATGGAGCCGCCGCAATTCAGCAAATTGCTAAGATGTGTCAGGTCAGTCAAAGGTGTTCTTGTGCTACACATAAGCTGAGCCCTTGAAAAGCAGCGCTCTGAGACACTTGCTGAACTGGGTGAGTTCGCAAAAGATGCCAGCAAGGTCATAGGAAGTTTTGGATCCATGATTGAGCGGATGCCACTTCAGATCTATGGGGGTTTAATTTTGTTCCTACCAGTTGCAAGTACTGTAAGGCAGAGATGCTGGAGCCCATGTCTAAGAAATCTGCCCCGTGTTCAAGGCGTGAAATTGGATTGGGATGCGCATCGGCAGAAGCTCAAGGGCCACACATCTTCGGTCGGCGACGTAGCCTTCTCGCCGGACGGTCAGTTGGTGGCGTCGGCGTCAAGCGATAGAACAGTGCGGCTCTGGGATGTAGCCACAGGCGCAGTCTGGCAGAAGCTCGAGGGCCATAGTAGCGGAGTTTCCGCGGTGGCCTTTTCTCTAGATGGTCGACTCGTTGCGTCAGCGTCGCACGACGCAACGGTGCGGCTGTGGGACGTGACTACGGGCGGGATAAAGCATACGCTCAAAGGCCACACGTCTTCAGTCTTTACAGTAGCCTTTTCGCCAGACAGTCAGTTAGTGGCCTCAGGGTCGTTCGATCGGACAGCGCGGCTCTGGGATGCTGCTACAGGCGCAGCCCGCGAGACGTTTGAGGGCCACGAAGGCTGGGTTACCATAGTGGCCTTCTCGCCGGATGGCCGAGTCGTTGCGTCAGGGTCGACCGACGAAACGGTGCGGCTGTGGGATGTGAACACGGGCGCGCTCCGGCAGACGCTCAAAGGCCACACATCTATAGTCAACGCCGTAACCTTCTCGCCAAACGGTCAGTTAGTGGCGTCAGCATCAAACAACACGATAGTGCAGCTATGGAACACAGCTACAGGGGCAGTTCAGCACAAGCTTGAGGGCCATAGAGATGCAGTTCGCGCAGTAGCCTTCTCGCCAGATGGCCAAGTAGTGGCGTCAGGTTCGCATGATGAAACAGTAAGACTTTGGGACGCTGCAACAGGTGCAGCTCTTCGGACGCTCAAGGAGGATCATGTGGTCCGCGAAGTCATATTCTCGATGGACGGCCACATGGTGGCGTCAATATCAGGCGATAGGACACTGCGGCTCTGGGACGCAGCTACAGGCGCAGCCTTAAAGACATTTGATAGTCATAGTGTGATTTACGCGGCAGCCTTCTCACCAAATAGCCGTATGATGGCGTTAGCATTGGAGGACAAGAAAGTGCAACTCTAGGATGTAGCCACGGGAGCAGCTCAGCACACACTCGATGGCCATGTGCGCCATGTATACAGCGTAGCCTTTTCGCCGGATGGCCAGGTGATAGCGTCAACGTCGGACACGACAGTGTGGCTCTGGGACGTAACTTCAGGCGCAGCCCTGAGGAGGCTTGAGGGCCATGAGAATACAGTTCTCGCAGCGACGTTCTCACCAGATAGCCGGCTAGTAGCATCAGCATCAACTGATATGACGGTACGGCTATGGGATGTAGCCACAGGCGCGGCTCTGCACAGGCTTGAGGGCCATAGAGAACTAATCTATAACGTGGCGTTCTCTCCAGGTGGCCAGGTGGTCGCATCAGCATCGCTCGATAAAACCGTACGCCTCTGGGAAACAGCTACGGGCTCAGCCCTACAGACGCTCGTGGGTCATGAGGAAGGGGTTGCTAACGTGACGTTCTCGCCGGATGGCCAGATCGTAGCATCGGTGTCGGCTGATAAGACGGTGCGGCTCTGGGACGCAGTTACGGGCGTAGCTCTACAGACACTCGGTTTGGGTTACACGCGATATCTTGCATTCGACCCATGTTCCACCGCTCGGATATTTACGGACTTCGGTGCTGTTGACGTATTGACAGACTCTTTGGCAGCCGAGTCACATTCACGTGGAGAGATGGCATCGTTTCCATCAATTAGTGGAATTGGTATAAGTTCCGACCGCGCTTGGATTATGGAAGGGAAGATGAAGATCATTTGGGTCCCTGATGAGTACAGACCAACAGCCTCGGCCACAAGTGGTTCAGTCTTGTGCATGGGATGTAGATCAGGGCGTGTTATCCATCTGGTAGCTACGAGTCCGTATCTCTAGCAAAGTCGCGGGCTCAAACCAACCATTCACTTGATATTCCGTTCTTTCTGCAGGTTGGGTGACATCAAGGTCCGGAAAGTCTACTTGTGATCTCCCTTACGGAAAGAACATCAAGAGTTGAAGGAGTGTCGCAGTATGCCGGCAGAAGCGGCGCAACGGAGTGCGATCAGCGTGGATAGACGACTTTGGGGAGGCGTGGAGAAGGCCGACAAGCAACTATCGCGTTTCATAGTCACAAATGAACAAGCTTATTGTGACCTCTCTGAGAATATGCTTTCCTCTCTGAGAATATGCTTTAACTGAAGGTAAGACGTCTGTCCTAAGCCCCAGGACAATAGTTGTCTGGCATCAAGGAGAACTGACGTTTCGAAAAAATAGCGATACGATATGGTCTTCAGGTAGTAGCTCCTGAAAATTTAGAAATACAGTGTCATTTAAGAGAAATATGATAATGTCCCCAGTTCAAGTTCGCAGGTGATTGCCACGTCGTCCGTCGCGAATCGGCTACTGGTTGACTCGACCACGACGGCGCAGCCCTCGAACCGAGAACGGGCCACCACCCATCGACACTGAATCGTGGCTTGACCGGATGAACCATAAGATCGACAGTGTTCCATGGAACGGCAAGAAATCTGACAAAAACCCGATCTGGGGCTTGATCAATCGATGGGATGCCATGAGTGACGAGCCGGAGAGCTGGCCTTCAACCAGGCTCTGTTGAACGACACTTTTTGCCATCGAGAGGAAGCTTATGGGGTTCGATGGACTTGATTGACTTCTGTTTGGAAGACTGAGGAAGATCAGGATGTGAGTGACTGAGGCTTGAACACGTAGGTTCCTCTGTCAAAGCCCTGTCAAACAAACGATGAACCGTGTGCCTGTCCAGCTGTGACTGCCACCCGACGTTTTGCTGGTTGGCTTTAAGCTCGCAGGCATTTCAGCCTCAAACCGGAGGGATGTTGTAAGGACTGTAAAACCTTCGCATACACGAAACGAATCTTATAGCCCTGACTCTGAATTTCCGTGGAACATCACACTATGTAGTGAGCGCGACAATTGTGAAGGCCGTTCAAAAATGGTGTCAAGTTTGTTGAAACACCCGGCCCACCAAAGACACTGGCATTACCCCGCGATTCCAGTCCGATTATATCGCACAGCGGCCTAGCTTCCCACAGCAAAACCCCATTTTTCCGTCTTAAAGTTTCCTCGGGTAATTGTGCATCAGGCACAGGCTACTTACTCATGGAGCTCCGTGAATCACAATGGCATTTAGCTGCACTCGCCTAACCTCCGATTATTTGCGAAGTAATCCATAACAACCCCTATGCCAGTACGTTGAGAAAGAAAAACATTCCCGCCTTTATACATGGGTTTTTCCTCCACCTCGCTCTACGGGAAGTCTCTCTCGTTCCTTTGCCGTTCAAATTGTAGCTAGTCAACTCAAAAACGTATGGGGCCAGCGCCAATTCAACGACGAAGAAGCGGTTGCTGGACATGCCGCTTACGTCGAAAAAGGTGCAGTGAAGGAGGTCCTCCTTGTATCAACTGCGTCAACCGACAGGTCTACTGTCACGGCTACGGTCCTAAGCCGGAATGGAAGGACAAGGGCGAGAAGGAACGTCAAGAAGCAATACGCTTGCAGTTGAGGACGCCAAATGCACCACGCCGCCGCATTTCTTCGGTCACCCACGGCAATCCACACGTACAATCAACGCAGGCTGTCACTTCTGCAAGCTCGATGGATGCTGGTTCCCTCATCTGTCCACCTCTGGAGCGCGCACTCAGCACATGCTCCACTGATGTTGAAATCGACCTCTCTCTTGACGTCGACCTAGATCGGATTTTGTTCGGCGAGGAGTGGTCAACCTTTGAACACCACGAGGTGAACAACCTCCCGGTTCAGTCTGGGTCTCTCCCTACACCTATAACACCCAGTGTGAGGTTCTCTCTTGCGACTTGCGAACCACATCTTACCCATCAGTCATCCGAGAGGGAGATGGATCTGGTCATGCACTATTTGGATCATGTCTTTTCTCAGGCACAAGGACCACACCTGAACCAGCCTCGTGGCTGGCTTCTTTCCGCTCTCATGGCGTCGCCCGGCTTCTACTTTGCAGCGATCGGCATAAGTGCATACTGCCAACACCATGACGCACAAGGAGATTCTGTTTTGCGGGCGACAGCCTATCACGACTATCAAAGTTATCGAACTCGCTCTTCTAAAATCTTCTCGGAAGGTTTTTGGGGTAATCTTCCTGGGGAAGCTTTAATTTGCGCAGTACATATATACCGCTTGGAGGTGGGTTCACTTCCTGTCCCTCATACGGGTTACTCTGACCAACTGACAACCGATAGACACTCTCAGGGGATACCCCAAAAGCTCAGCAATATTTCAAATCTGCTTTGACAGCAATGAGAGACCTTGAAAGTACTGAGAATTCCCAATCAGCCATGTCGGTGCCACCTGTGTCATCGGCCATCTCGCCACACTCAGTCGGGCCTCACCTCTTGCACCCATCCAGCAAGGCCATGGCATATCCACAATGCCTCCTCGCTTGGACGGACATACTGACTTGCTCCCTTCAGGGAGTGCTGCCTGACAATATGGAACTATACAATAGACTATTGTCAGATAGCAATTTCGGCTCCATGTTTCGGACAGCAACAGGCTGTGCATCATGGGTGCCCAAGGTCATCAT